GTCGGTATTTTTTTTATGACATGGCACCTCAGATAACGCGGCGTCGGCGAGAACAGGGTGCATGTCACATCCGTAGAGGGTACGTGTCTCCCTGACAGAGTGGACGCTTCGTTTTTCGTTAACGTTTGACTATTCAAGTTCTGTGGCTTTTGATAATACGAAGATATAAAGAACAAAGGAAAATTACGATGCAATAAGATACAGTGTCGTGCAACATTGACGAAAATAGGCGGATGAAAGTCGCGTGAGAGATACCAGGAGTACCATGGCCGAAGGCGGGGGTCCCTCGAGCACGGCAGACGAGGCTGACGACGTGGTGGTCACTCTCAGGTCAGCCACGGAGCCTCGAACTCGAAGACGCTCTGCCAGTCGCCTTCCGACCGAGTCCCTCTCGTCCTCGACCCACGGCCTCGAGAGCATCAGCGAGAGCGAGACCTTGAGTCCGAGTCCGACTTCGAAGACGATCAGTCCTTTCTCCGTTTGCCGCCGCGAGTTCTTCAAGTTCGCCGGCAGGAGGTGGACTCCGAGCACCTGGTGGGTGTACGAGGGAGTGTAAGTGTCCTTTCTTGGGTAAATCTCTGTAATAGTCAAGTAGTATAGGAAACAAACAGGAAAAATAGTAAAGGATTAACGACCACAACCTCAAGCACACACGCTCACGCACACACAAGCACGACAGGAAAGACTTCAAAGAACAGTCACGAGGGAAGGCGACAGAAAGGAGGGTGACATGATTACGCTGTACAAGTATAATACACAAAGAGTGGAGTTTGATGAAGATAACTTTCTAATTTTGAACAGAATAACAAGAGGACGTAGCAGTGTTGATAGCAAAGAGAGGCGATAACGATGTGAAACACACATACACACAAACAAACGCACATACACAAACACACACACAAACAAACACACAAACAAACAAAACAACGCACAACAACACAACAAAAACAAACAACAACAAACACCACCACACCAAACAACACAACACACACACAACACCCCTTCACTTATACCCATCTAAACACACACACGCCACCGATCCACCGACACACACTTGCCTAAACCATAAAACCTAGATCACATCTGCTCCAAAAGAGACAAAATTGGCAGCATGAAAAACAAGAACGAAATGAATATAGAAAGAGAGAAAAGAAAAGGAAAGAAAAGTTAAGAAAATAATCAACAGGAAATTCTCGCGCGTTGTCCTTCCGACAGAGAGTAACTCGTCTTGTTCTTATTTTCCTTGTCATTATCACTGTTATTATCAAGTCATTTTTTATAAACAATATGATATTTTACTATATCATACTATTATGTTATCATTACATCAATTATCAATCATTATATTATAGCTATTGTTATTATTATTATGATGGATTATCTGATTGATTATATGATGTAGTATATCAATCAAGGATATATGTAATTATATTGAGTTATTCGTATTAATGATTATATTATGTATATTATTATATATTGAGTAGTAATTATTATTAATCAGATTATTAGCATCCATTAGCATTATTATCAATTATATTATTAACATACTATCATATATTAGTATTTATTATTAATTGATTATTTATATTTAATAATTGAATATATAATATTATTATTAGATTATCATCATATATTATTATATTAAATCAATATATTATTATAACAACGTGATAATAATTAATTACTATTATCATTGATCAATTATCAGTCATTATCAAGATGTTATCATACTGCTTATATATATTAAATGATAACAATAAATAAGGACAGAGAAACATGATAAATGTTGATAACGTGAAATAAGATAGACGATTAATGATGAAATTACAGAGATAATTGATTATAACTATAGTGATCATCATCATATATCTACATTATCACTAGGCGATTCTATATCATTATTCTTATTGAATACATGCAATTATGATGTCAATGGAATTAAATATCAATCAGTATTCTTACTGTATTATTGGTATCATTATTCCTGGTGTGAATTGTTATCATAGTATAATTGTTATATATGTTTATTATCATATAATACAATACTGTATTGTTATTATAGACTGTCTCTTAATAGTAGTAAGTATTCCATCTTCTTTCTGCTTATTATCAGGTGAGTCCGTTTACGAATTATTGTATTGTTGTGAATTAGTTGTTTATTAATCATAGATGAGGTCATTCTTACAAATCATTATTATTACCATAATCTTTTATTTGTCGTATCATTGTATTTTTAGTTATTATCATTATCAATAAGATGTATTATTATTATCATCTATATAAGATCAATTAATTACAGTATTATTATATCATTATTTATATCATTATCATATTATTATTAAGCACATTACAATCCTTTATTAATTATATTATCAGGTATGATTATTGATAGATGTGGATAATATTATTAATTACTTATTATGTAGATTATTACTATTATATTGTCCATATATTAATATTATATTAATATTATATTATGAATATATTATTATTATATTATTATATTAGTGTTATTACATAATACGACTCTTAATGTAATGTTATTATTAGATCTTAATCGAATTATCATTACTATTATCATCATTACGATTATCATTATTATATGATTGCTTTTACCCATTTACTATGACATGACATTCTTCGTTTGATAAGTATGATTGCCATTGACGGAAAATAAGTACATTTATCTACAAGACATCAAAGTGGCACAACCATGGGAAAGATTGCAATGCCACTGTGCTGGTGCAGGTCAGAGAGTTGTAATGTGAAGAGCGAGCCGAAGGGTAATGGAGGTTGTAGGGAATCAGCTGAGTAACGCTGGGCGTGGGGCAGATCATGAAAAAAGTTGGGGAGGTGAGTTAGTGAGGACATCTGGTGGGGAGGGAGAGAAGAGTAAGAGAGAGATGAGAGAGAGAGAGAGAGAGAGAGAGAGAGAGTAGAGAGGAGAGAGAGAGAGAAGAGAGAGAGAGAGAGAGATGAGAGAGAGAGAGAGGAGCGAGAGGAGAGAGAAGAGAGACAGACAGGAGAGAGAGGAGAGAGAGAGAGAATGAGAGGAGAGTAGAAGAAGAGAGAGAGAGAGAAAGAAAGAGAGAGAGAGAGAGACATGACAGAGAGAGAAGAGAGAGAGGAAGTAGAGAGAAGAGAGAGGAGAGAGAGAGAGGAGCGATGAGAGAAGGAGAACAGACAGGAGTAGAGAAGAGAGAGAGAGAGATAGAGAAGAGAGGAGAGAGAGAGATAGAGAGAGAGTAGAGAGAAGAAGACAGACATATCATGAGAAGAGAGAGTAGAGGATGTGAGAGAGAGAGAGGAGAAGGAGATGGAGAGAGTAGAGAGAGAGAAGAGAGAGAGAGAGAGGAGAGAGAGGAGAGAGGATGATGAGATTAGAGTAAGAAGAAACAGGAGAGCAGAGAGCCTATAGATAGTAACAGGGCGCCTCTAACCTTTCGCAATTGGGTTAACGTAAACAATGCGTTGCAACGAACATAGTCTATCCGGTACAGGATATTAGAATGATTATGTTGCTCGTGTGTCATTTTGTATACTGACTGCTGGTCGGTCTGAGATAGCCTCTGTGGTAGCTTTTTTTTTTTTTTTTTTTTTTAGTACGTGATGGTCCATTTGTTTTCATGTGGTTCTCGTAGTAATGAGAAAGGAAAAGAGAGAGAAAGCGAGGAAGAGAAGAGTGAAAAGAGAGAGATATAAGAGAGAGAGAGAAAGATAGAGAATGAGAGAGAGAGAGAAGGAGAGAGGAGAGAGGAGGAGAGTAGAGCAGAGATGAGAGGAGAGGTGAGGAGAAGAGAGCAGAGAGAGAGAGAGAGAGAGAGAGAGAGAGAGAAGAAGAGAGAGAGAGAGAGAAGAGAGAGAACGAGAGATGAGAAAGAGAGAAGAAGAGAGAAAAGAGAGAGAGAGAGAGAGAAGATGAGAGAGAGAGAGAGAGAGAGAGAGAGAGAGAGAGAGAGAGAGAGGAGAGGAGGAGAGAGAGAGTAAAAATGGCAACGACTTAATCTACCCCGAGGTAGAAGAAATGAAGATACAGTTGCAGAGAAACAGACGGATGAATTCTCTGATAAACAAACGGAGATAAAGACGCCCAGCCAAGAGGTAAATATTACAGAATGACGGTATCGGGACGGAAAGTGAGGACCTTGAGAGAGAGGGCCAGTGATACGGATTGCAATAAACCGAGTGCAACTTGAGACAATATTCGTGTATGAAGTCTCGGTTAATCAGAGGAAATTGAGCAATTGCATTACTGTGTTGATATTACTTCTACATAATATATAGAGATATGATTGTGATTGATATACACGTGTGGTTAGTTATATGTATGCATTATTTTTTTTTATACATTTAATCTTTAAATTTAATTCTATTAGTTGTAATATATTTTCATGTTGCCTCTTTGTTATTTTCCTATTTGCGTTAGTATTTTTTTTTTCTAGACATAATATATTTTCATGTCGCCTTTTTGTGATTTTCCTATTTGCGTTAGTTTTTTTTCCACAGTGATTAGATTCAGGTACGTTGGAAATAGTTATATATCGGGGTACCTCTCAGTGTGGATAGTGAAGAAGTCCGAACAATTCCTTGATAAAGAGTTACATAATATAACGCTTCGGTTGCCGATCGCTGAATTTCCCGGCTGATTAACGGAGCCTGTTAAAAAACTTCCTGTCAGACAACTTCTTGTTTGAAAGCCCTGGTCTAGTTGCTTGTTTTTTCCTGTTTGCGGATGTGTATCTGCTCTTTGCAAGTGGTGTTTAAGGTACGAAAGGATATTATTGTATATCCTAGCTGTCAACTGAAGCGTGTATACAATACGGACAGTGTTACCAAATCTTGTCAGAACGTGAATACCATTTCCTCTCACAAATAAAAAGGCAAAATAGAATGCCATAACTCTCGAAAGTGTTGCAAAACCCTGACGCAACTTCCCCCGCATACCCCCTCGCCCCAACACCGGCCACGAGCGAACTCAGTCCATGCCCAGCGTCTTCAGACATTAAATATATTCTCTCCGCCATCCCATTGGTAACAAAAGGCGAGTTGCCGGTTAGGATTTTAACGGAGGCCAAGACCAGACCCAGCTGCCTTTGCCCTCAGACCTCAGACGTGAAGCGCAGCTGGTGACGAGAGGACTGCATTCGACTCGGTGGCGCGGGTCTCTACTTACGGTTTTCGGTGGCAGTTTAACTAAGCTATTAGCAGCTATTTATGTGATAAGAATTTCGACTCGGCAGTTTTCGATTGTCGTTATTATTTAAGAATCAGCGGTAACTGTGATTGCTTGGAGATTATCAGCGGCGGTCAGCGATCAGCTGTAGTGACTCCAATCACCTTGAGACGCCGTGTAGACTCCGTGCCCCAAGTCATCCTCGTCGACAGTCCTTCCGAGGGGGAGCTAGTCCTGTCGAAGCCCCAAAGACGGGCAACGGACGCAAACAAGTATGGTATTGAGTGAAAGACCCAAGAAAGACGGTTTAACAGATATCATGACCAGCGAACGCAAACCTAAGTTGTCTCTCCTCATGAGACCTCCCGATCGTCGACGGTCCACGAGCTGCATGTGGGATTCACAGTAAGTAGAGTGTCATGGTGTCATGCGAGAAGGTGGCGGCGGCGGGTGGGTGTGTTGGGGGTGTAGTAGACGTGGGTGGTTCAAAACGATGTCTGCAGTGTTTATGATTGGGCATTGCATTGTGCTCGGTTGCTATGCTGCACGGAACGGCAGCGATGGACAAACCGGTGGGTTTGGCATTGAACGTTTCATTTTTTTTTTTTTTTTTTTTTGTCTTTGCTTGAAAGTATGTTTTTTTTCATCGGTTTCCCTTTTCATAATCAAGTGTCATGCGTTATATAGTGTTTACTTAACCCTCACACCTCCCAATATCCACTCTGGAGACCTGGAAAGCCACAGAGTTATAACATGTGTGCTTTTACCCCCCTGAGGCGAGATCAAAGACATGGAACCACAAAGCCGCTTCCCAAGGGGTTGTTTTCTCCCGAGGCTTTCGCTTCAGTTGGATCCTTGCGAGGGAGCCATCGAGTTCGCGTCGGCTCGCTGGTCATATGAACACGTTGCATGTTCCACCGGCTTCTCTATTTATTATCATCTATCTCGTTACTTTACTTATCTGTAATCTTGAGTCTCTCTCGCTCTCTCTCTCTCTCTCTCTCTCTCTCTCTGCTCTTCTCGTCCTCTTCGGTCTCTCTCTCTCCCTGCTCTTCTCTCGGATCTCTCCTCTCAGTCTCCTCTCTCTCTCAGTCTCTCTACTCTCCTCTCCTCGCGCTCTCTCTCTCTCGTCGTCATCGTTCTGCGGTCGTCTGCTCCGTGCTCTCGTCTCTCTCTTCTATCTCAGGTTCATGATCTGCGTCTCCACGGCATTCTCTCATCTCGGTCATTCCTCAGTCTCGTCGTCTTCTCCGGTCCCTGCGGTAGCGGTGACTGCTTAAACGCACCGCGGAGCGCCCGACACCTCTTCTCTCTCTCTACTCAATCTCTCTCTCGTCTCCTTCCTCTCCTTCTCATCTGCTCCTCTCCTCTCTTCTCTTCTTTCTCTCTTCTTCTCAGGTCTCTTAACTCTCTCTCTCTCTCATCGTCTCCCTCTCTCTCTCTGTCTCTCTCCTCCTCCTCTCTTCTCTCCCTCCTCTCGCTCTCTCGCTCCTGCTTCGTGTTCTCTCTTCATCTTCCATTCCGTCCCTAATCGCCCTTTCATCTCCCGTCCTCTCCTCATCGTCGACCCTCCTCTCATCGGGCTCTCCATCTCACCTCTCTCAGCTTATCTCATCATCCTCTCTCTCTCCCTCTCTCGACTCCACAAGGATTCCCCCCGTCGTTCGCTACGTCTGGGGGTTTCTTACGGGAGATCCGGTGTGGACCATCCGCTGCCGCAGGCGCTCGGGTACCTCACCAGCACACGCGGCAGACCTCAGGGCCCCGTCAATGTTCCTCTCATCTCTCTCGGTCCTCCTCACTCTCTCCAGCTATCATCCCCAGATGCATCCTCTCTGTTCGCTCATTCTCTCTCTCGCCCTCACCGTCCCATCACTTCGTCTCGAGGTCACGGCTCAATCCTCTCTCTCTCCCTCGCTTCTTCCCGTTCCTCTCTCTCACGCCTCGACTCGTCTTTTCCCTTTCCCTCTCTGCTCTCGTCACTCCCTTAATCTCTCCTCACATGCGCTCTTGCTCTCATCCTGCTCCTCCTCTCGTCAACCGCGTCTTCGCTCGAAGTCGATTTCCGCTCCTGCGACTGCGGATCGCATGTCTCCTAGTGCTTCTCTGTCCTCTTCTCCCCTCCAGGCAGCTCGGGGTCTCCGTCGCCCGCTACGGCACCGGCCGTCGTCCGGCCGGCGGGCGGTCTCTCTCCCGTCTCTTCTCCCCTCTCGGGTCCCCGCTTGCGATTCGTCCTCCGCTCCCCATGTCGTCATCTCTTCCTTCCTCCTTTCTCCCGCTCCGTCTCGGTCCCAATCTTCTCTCCCCTCTTCCTCCTTCCTCCCTCTCCTCATATCCCCTCTCATGCCCACTCCCTTCCTCTCCTCCCATTCCTGCACCCTTCCCCAGAGTGAGGGGCGCTCCTTTCCATCTCTTCCTCAGTTCCTCCGAACCCGCCTTCCTTTCCTCGAACTACATTCCACCTCGCCTAGAAATGTACAGACAAGCGGTCAACTCTGGCTCTGGCCTGTTCCAGGTGCTCGTGGTGGGTGGGTAAAGGTGTGTTAGGGCAAGAGCGACGGGCATGGCGCTGGGCTGGCCGCTGCTTGTCACGCAACACGGACGTGGCATGCAAATATGGCTGTCCGGTCGTGATGCGCTGATTATCATTTTTGTAGTTGTTGGGGGGTGCAGGAGGGAGCGACCAAGATTATTTTCGTTTTTTGGAAAAAAGAGATATTTTCTTTTGCTTATTCGCGGCACGTTCACAGATCATGGCATTATATCATCATCATAAGAGTATCATTATCACCACACCATCATCTCCTCTTCCGCGCTTTTGCTCCCCGCCCCCCACCTTAGACCACCACCTTCCCACCACCCGCAGGCGGATCCTCGTCATCCTCCATACAAACGAAACTTGCCGCTACCCGCCGCCACCCCGTTACCGCGCCCGCCGGCCCCACGCCAACCCCGCGCCCGCCTCGCGGCCCCCCTTACCCCGCCCTGCGCTCTCGAGGTCTCCTCCGGCCCAGAGAAACTCGTAATGGCCTGATTCCAAGCACGAAGTGCAGGAGCTGAGCCAGGCCAACACCACTTTTCCCCCAGCAAAGACCGAAACAAACAACAAACAGAACCAAATGTAGCGTTGCGGCACCAATAGATACGGGTAGCATATGTCAGTATCTAAAGAGACGAACTAAATGATAGATTAGACTATAACGAAAGGAAAGAAAATAAAAAGAAAGAAAAAAATCTGCTTACATAACTAGTATTAGGACGAGAAAAATAGAAATATGAAAAGGAAACGTTACTGAATTTATCTCATTGATCCCATCAACAATTTAAAGAAAAGAAAAAAAAATGGAAAGAAGAGGAAGAAGAAGGACGACGAAGGAAGAAACAAACAGCAACAACAGAAAACCCAAACGCAAATAATCACGCTAAACTTAAGTAATGATACATTCAAAGTTATAGTTTTGGCACAACTTTCTTGTATATCCTCGTCAGTGTTTTTCTTTGGCGAATACGAAAGCGGTGTTATCGGGTTTCGGGCTTTTCAACGGTAAAGGACCGTTCATTCATATGTATTTTCTTATTATTTTGGGGTTTCCCTTCGGTAGCTTTATATGTCTCCCGACACGATCTGTTGGTCACTTGTAATATGTTGAGAAGTTAAAGAAAATAGAGAAAGAGGAGAAGAGAAAAAGACAAGAAAGAAAAGAAGAACAAAGAAAAGATAAGGAAGGGAATAATGAAGTAAGTTGGTAAATAATGATAAATAGGTGATTAAGATATATGATAAGAATTGGTAAAGCAGTGATGTAATGATAATGATGAATGGGTCTTTCAAGAGTAAAACAAAATGAAAATAACTAAAGTGTTCAATCAGTATTGATTCAGTGTCATCTTTCACTCAGTCATGATTTTGGTTCCTCTGTTTCTCCTCTCCCGACCGTCCCCACCCCTACAAAACTCCCCACCTCCCCCACCACCTACACCACCCCACCTCCCCACCACCCCACTCCCACCACATCCTAACACCTCTCCCACAACGTCCCCAGCCTCCCCAACCTCCACCTCACCCCACCTCCCCCACCACCCAACCTCTCCCCACCTCCTACACCTCCCACACGTCCCCCACCCCGCCAACCTCCCCCCACCCCACTCCCTCACCCTCCGTAACACCTCCCACACGTCCCCCAGCCTCCCCACCTCCCCACCACCTCACACCTCCCCACCTCCCCACCAGCCCCCAGCTCCCCACCCCCCACATCCGCTACCACGCCCCCGCCCTCACCCCACTCCCCCACCACCCCCACCTCCCCCACCCCGCACCACCGTCCTCCACCACCCATCTCCTCGCCCACCTCCCCACCCCCCTCTCAGCTCCCCACACCTACACCTCCCACACATCGCGATGAAGTCCGCCAGGCAACCCCCCAACCTCCCACCCCCCCACGCACCGCGCTCTTGCTGCCACCCACATCCTCCCCCACATGCCATACAAAACTCCCACACCCCCCACGCCCGCGCCAACCTCCCCCCTCACCCCCCACCCATCCC